AATAAATAACGGCCTTAATTCTTATCAGTCCAATCAACGTGTTCACGAACCACAGGAAGCGTTCGCTATCTGTTATCTTGTTAAAGAAACCATAATCATTTCCAAGTGGCGGTTTTTAACTGTTTGGGATAAAATGTAGATCTCTGTTGGTTTTTCGAAAACGTTTTATAGTTGAACATTGAGGACTGTCGGTATGGATTTGAAATTATCGGTTCTGTTTTGTTAGGTTATATTAAAGATTATATTATATTATGTTATATAGAGTATATATATATACTACTACAGATAAACATACTGGACGCTCTTGCCAATTTGTATTGATTCCAAAATATTTATATACGCGTAATTTAACTTTGCTAAATCATTACGCGTGCTTGTTGTGTCCTTTGTCATTCCAATGTACATCATTTCAAGAATCAATCTCTTTTCTCGATTATTTTAATTATCAAGGACTTTCGCCTTATCAAAATCAAATATGTACCCCTTTCTAACAGCATGACTGGCTAATACAGCGTCGAGAATAAAAAACAAGAGACGGCTTTAGCCAGAATGGGGCACACATTTGATTTTGATAAGGTGAAAGTCTTTGATAACTAAGTATATATATATATATATATATATATATATATATATTTATATGCATTAAAAAAATATCAAAAGTTAGAAAATAAAAAGCATTGAATTTTTGTGTTAAAAACATGAACAATAGCCTAACTTAATAAAAATAACTCAATTAAAATTAATAAAAATAACAATATATAAAGTAATGATATATAGATGGTTGACCGTTGATATGATATGAGAAGGAGTTAGTTGAGGGTGCGATCAAATAAATAAAAAAAATTAAAATATATAAATATATATATATATATATATGCATATATATATATATATAATATATATATATGCAAATATATATATATAATATATATGTAATATATATATATATATATATATATATATATATATATATATATATATATATATGCAAATATATATATATAATAAATTAAAATTATTTATATATTTTAATTTTTTTTATTTATTTGACCGCACCCTCAACTAACTCCTTCTAATATATAAAGTAATATAAGAAATAATTTGTAAATACTAAAACATAAAATCTTCTTAAGAATAATTATAATTGTAGTTGGAAGATAAAAAATATGCATGAAAAAAAAAGGGAAAGCCTGATGAGAAGACAAATGAGCTATAGTTAGTAAAGAAAAAGCATTAATTTCTGAAGTTAAAATATAATCAGTAGGATAACCTAATAAAAACTAACAATAAAAATTACAATATATTTACAGTAATTTAATTAATAATATGTAATCAAATAAAAAATATAAAATCTTCTTTAACACAGTTATATTTGTAATGGAGAAAAAGAAAAATATATAAGATATATAGATATGCTTATAAAGTTGTACACCTTATATCTTGAAACTTAAACAGTATGCACTAGTATTTACTTATAATAAAATACAATACATAAAATGAAATTTCACGAAGGCAGATGGTCTGTCTGGGATGTAACAGGTATTGGAAAAGCAATTATTTGAATGATGACAGGGAAGAGGTATGGCGGATGTTAGTTGATAAGGAATTTCAGAAGGTAACGGAGCGAGCTAAGAAGGAGCCCTTGGCAAAAATGGTGCTATATTTCATACTCAGCTTTGTCCTTATAATTGATTATATCCACAATCCTAATGAGAAAAATGCACATCTTACAGCATATATCCGCTGGAATACAAAATGGCGGACTTGTGAAGATGGATAGAGACCCTACATAGGTTGTAAGCGTATATATAGAGAGGGCTTACAGATATATAGAGCTACAAATCCTTTCAATTTATAGTGTTTACAGTCTTATGATGTGAAATGATAGTCAGTTACCCCATACTCATAGATTTCGAGTCGAAAAATTGAATTTACGATTCAAAAAGTTTACTTTTCTCGTCACCCGGGACTGTTGTACAAACTCCGAAAATTCCTACCACCTACATACTTCCTCATTATCCGTTCCTACCTTACTGATAGATACTTTAAAGTAAATCACAATAACGCCTATTCATCCCTTTTTTCCCAGTCTGCTGGTGTTCCTCAAGGTAGTATCCTAGGTCCTATCCTCTATACAGTTTATACAGCTGACATCCCTACCTGTCCCAACACTGTCATCACCACATATGCCGATGACACATGTATCTTATCAGTAAACAATGACCCAGCAATTGCATCCCAAATGCTTCAATCACACATCATAAATCTAGAAGAATGGTGTCAAAACTGGAGAATTAAAATAAACTCCAATAAATCCCACCAAATTACCTTTACCCTTCGTCGTAAACCAACGACTTCCTGTCCTACAGTTTCCTTTAACAATACTCCACTTATTCCTGTTGAGCAAATCCGATACCTAGGACTCCACCTGGACAAACGACTAACTTGGAATCCTCATACTAGACTGAAACGACAAGAAACCGCTCGACGTTTCCGATTACTTCAGTACTTACTAGACAAACGCTCTAAACTTCCCATTAATTACAAAAGACTCATATACTTGACTATAATAAGACCTATTTGGACTTACGGAGTTGAGCTATGGGGCTCCACTAAACCATCGAATTCCTTTCGCATCCAATCCTTACAATCCAAAATCCTTCGTAAAATCCTCAATGCTCCTTACTTTGTCACTAATAAAATTATCCATAAAGATCTTAATGTTCCTTATGTTTCAGATCTGGCACAATCCAGATACCTATCTTTCCATAATAAACTTCAGAAACATCCCAACCCTCTCGTTTCTAACCTTGCTTCCTCTTCAATTCCTGATAACCCTCCCAGGCGTCTGAAAAGAAGATGGCCCCGTGATCTCCTAATGTAGTCATATGATTAGAGTGCTACCATTGGGTAGTTACTCAGCAAGTGTATTCATGTCATTATATCAATTATGTCCAAATTTACTTGATGTATTTATGTAATACAGTTGTAAATGTCATAAAGAAATAAAAAAATAAAAATAAAATAAAACTTTTCTCGTTTTTTCGCTTGTATCAATTAAACTATGCGTTCAATGATAATCTATGATAATGTTAGAAGTGAAATCAAAGCTGACTAAATTTGCAATAGAAACGGTTATATTAGTTTTTTTTTGCTAAATTCTATAGTTTCAGTGATATATTCTATATTCTATAGTAATCCACTAATTTCGAGAAGAAATAAAAAATTTGCATCGCATTTTTATCTTTATTGGACTCGCCAACTCTTTTTGTTTTTAATTCAAGAAAAAGTCACGGGGAAGAAAGTTATTTAATGTTGAATTTTCTATAAGAATCCTATGTATTGTTTATAAAAGATGTTTTTTTGTCGGTACGCCATAACTTCGTCAATTCTTCCTCAAATCCAATGACTGACCACTCATTTTGAAGATATTCTGCTCCTTCTCAGACGAAATATAGTCCTATCCCCCGAAATTTCTGGAAAAAAAGTTATAGAAGAAAAGAAACTTTATTTGCTAATAACTCAAAAAGTATGCATTTTTCTCTGGATTGTACCCATGATAATTAGAAATATTACTAAATTACCTACAAAAAAAAATCGTAAAATTCAGACAATTATTAACAAAGATACAGTCCATTAGTTTTGATACACTCAATAATGTCTTCCAGTTTAAAGATATTGCATTTAGGAGTAGAATGGTCTAATAGTCTTTTTTCCTGGCTTTTATATTAAGTTTATTATTTCTTAAAGGCGTTTGGTTGTTCTTACATTTTATTTTTTTTAATAATTTTGAATATCCTATGATCGGGGCAATTATTTTGTCTTTATTACTTTTATTATCTTTCCAGTCAGCGTTTAAAAATAGGTCCTAGCAAAGCAATTTGTATAAATATTTTGGTCTATTATGTTTAATGGAATAGTTTAATCGATTAAGGAAAAAATATTAATTCCTTCCTTACATAATACATAGGAACTACTTATTTCCACATTGTTTTAAGATTTCTTCACTAAAAAAATTATCTGCGAATTTTTCGAACGGGCCAACTTGTATATATTACTTTATTATATTATCTTTAACTATTCAAAGACTAGAGCAATTATAACTTCATCATTAAATTCCGAAACTATACAGGAAAACTTACTTTTCACAATTTTCGATATTACACAGCTCTCAATCTATATATAAGATAACATACATGTATATACATTGGCTTACATAATATACATAATATACATATATATAAATATATATGTATATATAAATATATATATATATATATATATATATATATATATATATATATATATATATATCCTTTGTAACTTTTTCTGTATAGTTTATTCAAAGAGGGAGAAAATCAATAAGGAAATGAGGAGCTTGCGGATAGTTAAAATGTATCAATTGACCTTCTGGAGAAAGGACAATATGACGGTCGTCCTAAGCTTTTTACAGAGGAGCTGAAGGAGATAGATTGTTCCATGAATTTATTGTACGTTTCGGAGAATCTTTGTCACCCTCTTCAGCAATATTTTACTCCCCCAAAAAATTGGATGAGTCACAATAATAAAATAGTTTTGGTGGAATTCCATCAAAAGTGTAATTAGTTACTTTTTCCAATAACTTAAAAGTTCCATACGAATTCCAATCCAAAGTAATAGTTGCATAAATTGCATAGTTTTTGTTTTGAAATAAACTTGTAAGCTTTTATTACCGCCGATACCTGACATTGATGGATTGTCTCGGTAGGTTCATTAAATAAAAAATATCTCAACTACATCACGAATATTTGTTTAATAAATAATTTCCTTAAAAAGCAATGTTACATTGAGTAATAACAAAAATTACATTGAAGCTTAAATAAATAAATTTTATTGCTACATTTAATCTAATCAAAACAATTCACCCCTCAAAACAATTAATAACGTCTACATATCGAAATTTATTGAGTATCATCTTGACGACTCTTGATGGATATATAAAGAGCAGATGAACTAATTCCATGCGTCATTTCAATAATAAAATGGAGGGAACAAAAGTCGAAGAAGATGGTCCTTCTTATTTTAGGGCATACCTGACTGCCCTCACTGGTTCGTAATTTTTATATAATTTCTCTAATGATTAAAATAAATTATAAAATAATATATTTCTATAGTTGTATAGAAATATATAGTTGTATAAGAACATATTATGTTATTTAAAATATAATATAATAATAAAACACTTTTTATCTATAGTCTTACTTTATTTCTTCTTTATACCCAATGTTTCAGGCCTTCAAGCCATTTTCAGGTGTAAAAACCTTTTACAAAAAAACATCACAGCCTTACTATAGTTTCATATGAATTATTTATATAATTCATTAAATATATACAAAGTTTATCTCATTATGGCTTTTATAATTAGTGTTCCCCATAATCGGTCTTGGTCTTGTACTTTGCAAGATCAAGACCAAGCCCACCTTACTGTTGCAAGATCAAGACCAAGACTGGTAAAAAAAAACGATTTTTTAAGTAAAAATTAACGCAAAATAGTTACTAATACTTGACAATGTTAGTTACTATATGTTAATAATTGGTATAACCAATATACTTTTGTATTTAATCTCTCTAATTTTTCATTCGAGCTTAGTTAGTTTCTCCTATCTAAAAAATGACAGTAATATATCTATAGTAATAAGATAATAAGTAACTGCAAGACTGTCAAGAGACTCTTGCTCAAGACTAAGACTGAATTTGCAAGACCAAGACTCGACTAGGTCTCGCATTTGGGCAACACTATTTATAATACATAATAAAAATAATTTAATAATTCATTTTAAAAAAATATTTAAATAATTCGATTGACAATGTAAAACGTTTAAATAAACATGAGCCTGATGAAGAGAGTTTATTTCAGTTTTAAATAAAAAATGTGATTAGGACAATAGAGTCCAAATTATTTTATTTTTATTTGTAAAGTGAGGTATGTAAATAGATAATGAAATATAAAAATTATAAATATCCTATTATATAATAGGTGAGAAACATTTATCATTAGAGGCCGCAGCAAGGTTAGATAATCGATCGATAACGGAGGACGTGATATATTTCACAGTAGCGATTTTTATTTAAAAGTAAATATGAATCACACACATATATATTCAACTTAATTATATTATTTTTCAAATTTCCGTAACCTAAATAATTAAATATTAAGGCCGCATTCGGCTCACTGAACCTCATCTGTGAACTATACTAAGGCTGTGATGTTTGATTTTAAGAAGTTCTTCCCATTAAAATGGCCTCAAAAGCTGAAATGTGGGGTATAAAGAAAAAATAAAGTCGGACTAAGAATCAAATATATTTGATTATCATATATAGAATTAAAGTCCTAACCAAAAATATTTAAATATGTATAATATTTTAATAGAATGGAATATTTATTTATAGTTCGATATTTCTTATTATATATTTTCTTTTTACTTTTTTTTCAAAGATCTGAGTTAACAAAATAAACATCCTAATTTATAGCCTAATTTATTATTTTTATTTATACGCTTTCTGGGGTACTTAGGTCTCCTATTCTGCATCTAGAATTATATCAATAATAACATATAGTAATTTCTAAATTAAACCAATCATTCACGTTTTATAATTAATAATAATTTTAAATTAATTTTTATTTAAAAATCATTTATAAGACCAATAAACCGTAATTATATGTTTTCCCCTTGTGTTGGGCTAGTTATAGAACAAGTTTAGTAAATTATCAACCACACTTTCAACTAAAACGACCGGAGAACATCTAAGTTATTAGAATTTTTAAATGTTTTTTAAGTAGAAAATTATTTAAATTAAATTAATGTTTAGTAGTTGAAATGATCATTTTGTCTTCACTTCTTGTCTAACAAAATAAATACCCGTAAATGATATTATTTTCTTTATTAATTTAATTTGTACGATCTCGGGGATACTGTGGGGATACACTCAGCATCTAGAATTATACAAATAATTGATTATAGGTTACTAATTATATTTTACTTATTATTTACATTTTTTAATTAATAACATTTTAATTTAAATTATTTTTTATTAAAAACATTTATTAAATCATTAAAATTTGTTGGGTTGTAGTCAACTGAAAACACCAAAGCACATTCAAGATTTAGGAGAAAAAGCTCTAAATTTATTTTCTTCATAATTTTCAAATTATTTTTTAACAGAAAATTATATAGTTATTTCGTTCCCTACCCCGAAAAGCTATACATCATCTCTAAAGCTTCCAAACTTACCAATAATCGTTCATGAGCACTATAACACTTCTCCCTGTACAAATGAAAAATATTTTTAAAAACTCTTAAATCGTCTGAAGCCTATCCTAGAAAGAAATGAAATGATACCAAATCACTAATTTGCCTTTCATTCATATCACTCCAACGGTGCCATCGGATAGTGGATGTTCTCTGTTGCTTTTGAGAAAAAAGGATATTGTTCTGCATTCTCTACCCGCTCTCCTTAAAATTTCAAGAATTTCACCAATCATGAAACCTCGACAGAAGAAACCGGATTGTCTCAAAGGGAACGACTAAAGAATATATTGACTTAAAATTGGCCTACTGGAACATTTTTTCTCCACATACTAGGATCACTCAGAGAGCTATTTATTGAACTTGACAAATATAAAAACGATTCCGAAAGAGAATCCAGGAAGTTCGCCGGATTGGTAAAGGGACTCTCGAGAATAAATTACAAGGTAACTTCGCATTAAGGGTATATTTTGTAACTTTACCATAATTAATTGTCCTACTTCAACGGAAGTGACTGATGAGCAAAAAAAATATCAATTCTAAGATGACCTTAGAAGAGTCATTGATGGATATCAAGGTCTATGTGTAATATCAAAACTCTTGCTGGAGACTTTAACGCAAAGGTTAGCAGCGAACTTTCATACAAGCGTTTTGGATCCTACAGTCTACAAATGGAAAGTAAAAACAGTGGTCACCGGATTATAAGTTTCGCTGCGAACCACGGTCTAGCCTTAGGCACTACACTTTTTCCAGGAAATAAGATTCACACAGCAACCTGGAGATCATCCAACAGCATAGTGACCAGTCAAATAAATCACCTCTTAATCGATTCTCGCCATTAATCCAATTTGATGAATGTTAGATCTTTCAGAGGAGATGAACATGAACACTGATCATTATTTAATAGCCAAAATTAGATCCGTTGCCAGAACTTCTAAAAATCACTCTTTAAGAACATATAACATTGGCAAGCTGAAGAAGACGGAAGTCTGTAATGCGTATCAGAATAGTCTCAAAGAAGAATTTATTAAAAGGATTAACTCATCTACTGATAGTATTATTATTATTATTATTATTATAGAAGAACAATGGAAAAATTGCTCTGAAGCTCTCAATGCAGCGGTTCAGAGAATCTTAGGTTATAAAGAGAGAGCCATGCAATCACCATTGTGCGATGAAGGATGTCTTTAGCTTGTAAGAATGAAACATATATGAAAAATATATTTCATGAGGTGACAAAATAAGGTCAGCTCAAATATATGGTGTGATGAAAAGGAAGGAGAAACGAATCCGTAGGAAAAAGAAAAGGAAAGATTCTAGGGAGATCAAAAGTTCAGGGAGATCGAAAACTTTAAAAAGCTTATGAGTCAAGACTATTCTACCAGAGAGTTAATGATATAAGAAACGAGTCACATCTTCTAGAAACAAGGATGGAATACTCCTCGTTCAGAAGGATCAAGTTCTACGAAGATGGCTAAGATATTCCAAGTAACTGCTTACCAAAGAACAAGATCAGCAGGCTTACACGTTTGTCGCACCTCAGAGAAGTGATGCAATGTCATCAAGCTGACCGAGATGAAGTTGAAGTTGAAATTTGTAAGCTCAAAAATAACAAGGCATCGATGGCAATCAAGCAGAATTACTGAAATATTGAGAAGAGGGGCTGGAAAAAGTGTTGCACGAGCTCATACTGGATGTATGGATGAAAGGAAGGATGCCGCAGAAATGTTTACCAAGTACTGATCTCTGAACCCTTTGTGGTATTTTTTTTTCTATAGATGTCTTTGAAACTTACGAGCAATCAATGATTCTTACAAAATAAATAAATGTTTTATAAAACCTTTCTTATTATACGTAGAAAATTAAATATTTTAAAATTCGCTAATCCTAAAGCTTGTTAAACTGAAAAATATATCAAAGCATTTCGTTTGATTTGAAAATATACTTGACAAGCGACCAGAACTTGCAGCAACATAATTCAATAATGTCGCAAGATGCGCTATCAAAATATTTGAGGGTGCGTATTTCGACTAGGTTTTGAATTTTTGAGGATGGCATATTTCGACTGAATGAATCTTTGGAGTGAAATATTTCAAATCAGATAACTGGGAGGAGAACATGGTACAGATCACAGCCAAATTGTATATGACTAAGTCTAATTGTAAATGATCTACGATTTCTCTTATCCTGCTTTCGCTTGCTCTGTTTTAAAAAGAGGAGAGTAATACAATCTATGAAGAGGGGAGGATATGGATCATCACCCATCACCTTGGGGTGGATGGGCACATTTAGTTTCGCACTACGTAGTGGGCACACTGTGTAACATTTAGTTTCTTAAACAGTACTAGATACTTTATCCCGATATGAATAGAGTAATAGCTGAAGTATTGGAAAACTTTTTTATATCTGGGTGAGCACTGAAAGATGACAAAGACACAGCTGTTTTGTTAAGCAGTAAATAATTATGAGGACTGAACATCCTTAATGATATGTCTTCTCCACAAGAAATTAATATACTAACTATAGAGGAATGGCTCCCATTGTCTAATGTCTTGTTTGAGAAAACAGCCCCACATGCTTAAAGAGAACTTGGGAATTGTCAGTCAGTATTCAGAAGAGGACGTTCAATTCCCGACCAGAACTTTAAGTAGCGGATGATCCTGGAAAATGATATGGAGTACAAGCTGACCACTTACCAAATCATCGTCAATTTTAAGTAGGCATATGACAGTATCGATAGAGAAGGACTGTACAAGGCGCTAGAAGAGCTTAAAGTACCAGTAAAATTTGCAAGACTTATAAAGATGACTATGAAAAACTCAAAATGTGTATTCTGTGTTGGGTGAAATCTTTCCGAAGTATTGGTAATCAGTAACGAATTTAGACAGGAACTTTTGATTTTGATTTGCTTTGCTTTTGCTTCCTATTCAATCTGGCATTAGAAATTTCTAATATAGAAGTATGTCGTTTCTGAAATAATTGATTCAGATATGTTATATAAGATATGCACATAGAACAGATCTTTATTAATAGTATAAATCATATAATTTCATATTTCATATTCAATCTGGCATTAGAAATTTCTAATATAGAAGTATGTCGTTTCTGAAATAATTGATTCAGATATGTTATGTACATAGATCAAATCTTTATTAATAGTATAATTTCATATTTCATTGAAATAAATCTAATACAGCTACATGGTATAGCAGTTAAAACCTTCTCAAACCAATTAATTTTCAAAATTTGTCTGTAGTTAGAACTATGTCACACTGCTAATTTCTATATTTTTCAAGTGATGGCACTAAAATTCATTTGGGACATAGACAACTTTGTTGTGAGTGATTTCTGAGTGAAAACTCAATCAAACCAATTTCGTTAGTTAGAATATAATTGTTTAACGTTCTTACTCACTGTTACTATATTCATTTATGTTTTCCATATCTAAAATCACCAAATACTCTTGTATACTATGTAATATTTTCAATAAAAATTAATGTTTACGATCTATTCTTTAGAAAACTTAAATCTTCAGATCCACGCCCTAATAACGACAAATAGTCCTTAAGATTTTTACTCATCTTGAATGGGTTTCATTTAATTTTTTTTTTTTTTTTATAAATTGATACTTGATTCTTTATAATCAAACATTAGATATGAAATTGAGTTAATCAACGTATTTGAAAAAAAAATGACACAAGTACATTTATGTCGTTCTATAGTAGGAAGCATCCAAAAGATTTCAAGTTCTATTTACGACAGGGTTTGCTATATTCTTCTCGGGTTAAATTACACATAAATCTAGTATTTTAATCTATGTGACTTAGTATAGTTATGATTTGTAAAACTTTAATTAGTTATATTTAACATTTTTATTTTCTACTACCAATTTTAAAAATATATGTACGAATACTTATGAGCTCATAGGTTAGTTAAGTATATAGTAATTAGGAGTCATTTGTATCAAAAACGGACATCTTCTATTATATTTGTTTCAAAAACGGACATTTGTATTTCGTTAATTAAAGATGAATTTAACTAAGATGTTAAATAATATTGATAATACATCCTTCACAATGTTTAAGTACGAAAAAAAAAAAACAGAATTCGTTTAAGTTGAAGCCTTACATTGAAAACTGACTTTTTTTCAAAATTCTAAAAATCACGGATAGTCCAGTAAATGAATGATTATAGAAGGAAATGGCGGGGACACAATTTTCGACTTATTGAAACTGTTCGGACTTGTTAACATGTTAAAAGTCTCCACTCCTGGGTGGTGGGCCAGATGTGGGAGGACGCTTAGAAGATCACTTTTTTTCAGGTTTTAGCTAATATCAGAAAAACTATCCATCGTATCGACAAAAATGTTCTATATAAAATTAAAGATGATGAAATTTGCAATATGATTTATAATACATTTTTTTTGGTATCACGCTTAGTTCTCGATATATCCGTCTTGAAATATCGGTAATGTGAAAAAGAAATGTTTACCTCTTGTTTTTTATGGCATTTGGATAGCTAACTCTTGATTGCTTCTTTCTACGATTAATTCATGGTGAAAAAGTTTTTAATAGTTAGATTTGCATCAATAATATATATTATTTTACTAGTTTATCTCCAACGGTTCAAAAGTTAAATCAATTATAACTTTGTATGTCGATTCCGAGAATTTGCAGAAAAAATTAATTTTTATAATATTCCTTATTATTGTATTGCTCTAACTCCATATACATCTAAACCTTTCTCTATACTTATATATGTACATACATACAATAACGCATATTATGAAAATTTATTTTTTCTTCAAATTCTCGGAATTGACATATAAAGTTACATTGGATCTATTTAAATTTTAACTATTAAAGACTTTCTTCCCCATGGATTAATCTTAAAACGAAGCAAGTCATCATGACGTAGCTAGTCAAATATAGTGAAAAACATGAGGTAAACATTTTTTTTTTTCCATGTTAGCGTTAATTGAGGTCGGCTATCTCGGAAATCAAGTGATATAGCGATAAAAAATATATTATCAATCATATTGTATCAATTTTATCAGCTTTAATTTTATACAGAACGTCATTGTCAATGCGATGTATAGTTTCCCTGATATAAGTGGAATCCGAAAAACAGCAATAAACACGAGGCAATTTTCTTGTTTTTTTCAAAATTAGCCATAGTTGAGAACGGATATCTCGGAATCTATACGAGGTAGCGAAAAAAAAGTATATACACAATCATATTGAAAATTTTATCAGCTTTAATTTTGTATAAATTCGTATTCGTCGACGCGATGTACAGTTTTCCTGATATAAGTGAAACCCGAAAAACAGCAATAAACATGAGGCAATTTTTTTTTTTTTAATTTAGCCATAGTTGAGAACGGATATCTCGGAAACTAAACGAGGTAGCGAAAAAAAAGTATATACACAATCATATTGAAAATTTTATCAGCTTTAATTTTGTATAGAACGTATTTGTCGAAGCGATGGATAGTTTTCCTGATATCAGCGAAAATCCGAAAAATTTTACCTACTAGACGCCCTCCTCTACATCTGGTTCATTACCTAGGAGTGGGGAGGGGGGCTTTTATTATGTTTACCTCGCAACTGGTCCAAACAATGTCCCAAAGTCAAAAATTGTGCCCCCACTATTTCCTTCTATACATACCCCCTTTTCGAGCATTCATTGACTAGACTAAGATGTCCACCTTTGATATCACTCCAATAAAATAATTTAAACATATAATTACATATCTATCCATCTTTTTTTAGTCACGATCCTCAACTTCTCCACTGGCGCAGTGATGGGTTGGTCTTCTCCCATCCTCCCTAAACTCAACCTGACCACTCATGAGCAAAGTCTTGTCGGATCTCTGTATTCCCTCGGAGCAGCTCCTGGACCATTCATCATCACTTTTGGTATAGACACCATCGGCAGAAAGGGCATGATCTACGTACTCTGGGCTTCTTTTATGATTTCCTGGATCATCATGATCTGTTCTCAAAATCTGTACGTTATCTACATAGCGAGGCTGATCGGGGGTCTGGGTGTCGGAGGTGCATGTTCTGGCATACCAGTCTTCATCGCAGAATTAGCACTTGTAAGTAACATTGTTATTATTACAAACATTTCTTAAAAGTATTCCATATAAATATCTAAAAAGAAATAAAAAATTAATCCGTTGAACAAAATTCACGTACTAATCTACATTGAGTATAGTGTTGCCCAAATGCGAGACCTAGACGAGTCTTGGTCATGGTCTTGGTCTTGCGCAAGTATCGCAACAGTCTTGCAGTTACTTATTAGCTTATTACTATATAATACTGTAATTTTTTGGATAGAAGAAAAATAACTAAGACCAAATGAAAAATTAGAGGAGTTAAATGCAAAACCATATTGGTTATACCAATTATCTACATATAGTAACTAAGATTGTCAAGTATTAGTAACTATTTTGACTTAATTTCTATTAAAAGTTAAATTTTTTTTTACTAGTCCTGGTCTTGGTCTTGCAACAGTTAGGCGGCCTTGGTCTTGGTCTTGCAAAGTGTAAGACCAAGACCGATTTTGGGCAACATTAATTGAGTAGGAATTAATTTTAAATGATTTATTGAAGGAAGTTAGTCAACTGTTCTATATATCATAGGTGATTAATAGTCAGGACGCTGTCATTTTTAAGGTTTTTATCAGTGCCATGTTTTCTTGAATTGGCGTGTACTTGAATAACTTCAGTGCTCCAAACACGCCTTGATGATGAACCACATGCTTGGGTTGAAATTTCAGCAAAAATAAAAACCTAAATAATGACTGCGTCCTGCCTATTTATCATTTACCTTTAAATGAATTAGTAAACTTTAAGAATATTACTATAAGTATAAGTATAAACCAAAGTTCATTATTATAAAATAAAAAATTCTTTACAGTGTTTATGCTTTGTTGTATCAAACAGAAAACAAAGTTCCAGTAAATAAATTAGCCATTACTTTCATATGGAAATTGCTATCATTATCCAAAAAAAAACTTTTTTTTCTTCCAAAATATGAAAATAAATATAATTCAATAATACAATCATGTTCCATTTGGTTTTTCGCTACTGTCCTAACTTCTATAATTTTATATGATACATATTATTTTTTCTAAAATCATCAACTTTCCAACGGTATATTTTAATATGATGAATATTTGAACATTAATCATAGTATGGCAATTCATAATGCACTTTTTAATAGACTATCAGACTCTATTTTAATACAAATAGAAACAACCAAAAAACATCTTGATACAAAAGTAACGTTATCTATAATACAACTCTTATTCCCAGAATTTCGTTTTCAACATAGAAATATATTTATCCTTAATTATTGAATTTTTCCAAAGTTTATATTTATGCATTTTTTATTGGTACCAACAATAAGCGAGAGTTAATTATTCCAAATAAACGAAATTAAAGTGTGTTTTTTTTCGAAAAAGAATATTTGGTATTAAAGACCTTTCAGAATAATTTAATGAAGATTAAGTAAAACTGACATTGACAGAATGGCTCCAATTTCAACATTTTTGATTATTAATTTTAGTACACATCTGTTTATTGTGACACATCTGCTCATTGTCAATACCATGACAGCTGCGGTTAATTATTTGAAAAGGAAAAAAAAATTAGTGATATTTCTAGTATGATAGTTTATACCTTTATTCACATTGCTATATTTCAATACTGCACTCACTTACCCTGGAATCAACTTATTTATTGATTTAAGCAGTCATATTTGAACTTTGTATGTAACTTTGTGAAACTTGGTTATTCTTAATCGTATAGCCTGTATTTCAGTTAAGAAACTAAAATAAGACTTGAAATATTTCACGACCGCAATACTTTCTCTTACTACATACTTATCACCTTCAATCACCACTTTTGCTCCATCCCTATAACTCTCCAAGCAAATATTCCATTGTCTGCAACAGTGCTGGAAGTCTTCTGTCAACTTCTCCAGGATGCCGCATTCCTTGCCAGCAAGAACATCAATGAAATAATGTTTATTAATAGTTTGACCTTCAGGAGTTAAGGTGCATGATCCCACGAATATTGAAAAAAACAATCATCATTGCTTTCAATTTTAATTTGCTCATTCAAGCTTTTTTGCTCTGGGTGAAATAGAGCTCTTCTAGGGCATGGGTTGGTGCAGTGTTTCTAGATCAGTAAAAAACCACTATTCATCAATCTGCATCTGCAAGGAACAAGATTTGAGTCCGTTGATGTTATTTTACTATATAATATTTTATTTAGAAAAAATACGTTTTGCCTCAATTAAGGGCATTGAGTATTTAGGATGAATGAAATACAAACATACCATATTTACAATAAAAGAAAAACAAGATTATAACAAAATAAAATAAAATAAAACTTGGAGTAACAGAATAAATCGATCATGATACAACATTAAATAAAAAATAAAAACACATTCATACTTATTTACAATATTTACAGTCAGCCGAGGGAGCTCCGAGTCGGGCCTTTTCCCCCACGTGTGAAGGATGAGGCAAGACTCCAAGAGATCCCAGCGCTTCTCTCTCAGCCGCATCACTAGGATGGGAATCCAGTGGAGACTAAGAGAGGGCAAAAGACGTCTTTACTGCCGCTTCAACCTCCTCGAAGGATTGTAGGGATGACTGGAACTGGATAAGGATTGTGCTAAGGGATTAGGATGATGAATTAGGTTCTGATGAAAATTTGAAAATCGGGATGGAATAACGTCAACGACATAAGGGATGTTAAGGTCATGATGTAAGGTTTTGTTCGTAACATAATAAGGAACATTGATTATTAAACGGAGAACTTTAGACTGGAAGGATTGGATGCGTTTGATGTTCGAAAATTTAGTTGCCCCCACAGTTCAAGTCGGTAGGTCCAGATGGGATTCAGTATGTGAGTCCGTTGGAGCTGTGAAAAAGAAGGCGACATGCGTCATATAAGAGCTGACAGAAGAAGTCTTCCAACACTGTCGCAGACAATGGAAGATATATGGAGTATTTTAGGACAGAGGAGAGATGTGTATTGGAGGTCATAAAAATTAAATATTTATAAAATGTTTTAAAGCATCAGTTTCGCTATTTAATGCCCACATAGCATATATAGGTAAGAATAAGTAGAACACTCAGAAGGCGACCTGGGATGGTATTCTCAAATAATCTTTCTATGTCTCTCTGTGATGTAAAGATAGTAATAATTAAATATTAAAAATTTAAAACGAATATAAAATACTGATAAATTAAATGTAATTGAATATCGAATAAATATATTTTTATTATTTCAGCCAGAAATTCGAGGCCGCCTGGGCACATTGACTGGTCTTTCTTTTTCCGTCGGAATTCTCATAATGTACGGGGTCGGACCTTACGTCACCTACACAACTCTGGCAATATTGGGTGTCGGGTTGGCTGCCATTTTCGTAGTCTTCTTCTACTTCGTTCCGGAGTCACCCTATTACTACTGTAAGAAAGGTATGAGGAAGGAAGCCGAAGAAGCTCTTCAAAAGTTGAGGGGATACCGTACTCGAGAGAAGCTTGAAGAAGAACTTGCAGAAATCGAGGTAAGTTAAAATAGTTACGTGAACAAGATAATCGTTTTTATTTCAATTCTACATTTAAGGCAGTTTTAACAGAAGTTTCCCAAGGTTCAATACTAGCCCCTCAACTTTACGTTATATACACTTACGATATACCTATTAACGATGAAATCTTGACAGCTATTTATGCAGACGACGCAACAATTCTCATAAAACATCAAGACCCTACACAGGCCTCACTAACACTACATGACTTACTTAAATTACAAGATTGGTTCACACTATGGAAAATTCGACTTAATCATGACAAATCATGACATATATCATTTACTCTTCGAAAAAACACCTGCCCTCCAGTTTATATTGGCAGCAATCAAATTCCTCAAACGGACACCGTACTTTACCTTGGACTCATCTTCGACAGAAGGATGACATGGGGTCCGCATGTTAAAATGAAACATAAGACACTTAACAAACGACTCAAACTACTTTACTCTCTTTTTTCTAAATCTTCAAAACTAAAACTAAAACAGAAACTGAATACATATACATACTTACTTAAGCCCATATGGACATACTCATCACAAATATACGGCATCGCTAAAAAGACCCACCTACAAAAACTTTAAACGTTCCAGTCAAAATTATTGCGACTCATAACAAAAGCACAACTTGGTACGTAACTGAAAAAACTCTACATACTGACCTCCACCTTCCAACAGTTGAACAGCATATAACGACCCTTTATCAGCGATTTTACACAAATTTACATGGACATAATAACAGTAATGGACTAATAAGAGACATGGCCACAGCTGACATACCTCAGAACATGAGGAGACTAAAAAGGCGTTGGATGAGGGATCTCCCTCCTCAGACAACCTAAGTAATTAGAACTAGTTAGGGAACAGGTACTGCTGAGTACTTTCCTTCCCCATGCCTGCCATGTCATTCATTATCTCTACATTTTTTATAGAAAAAAAAAGGCAGTTTTTTCTCAGCACGTAGACTTAACAACAGAAAAAAAAAACATTCAAACCCACCTCAATGCTTCGGTGATAGATGTTCAATACTGATAAGTGTCAATATTGAAAAATACAATCCTAAAGTTTTTACTCTTACACATTCTGGAGACCTTCAAACTGGCGCTCAACAGTAACAAGTTGTGGAATTCCTCCAAAGAAGCAGTAAAATACCTCAGTGTTCATCTAGACTGTCCCCTTGCGTGGATATCACTACATTCAAAATAACTAACGCAAACCTATGCAAGATTGGCAATGTTAGCTATATAACATCATTAATACCTAAAATTAGATATTTTATATTCATCCTAATTTACAAAAAAGTATCAAGACCAAGATTTATGTATGGTTTTTTGCTTTATTTATTTATTTTTTTTTTATTATCCTCTACATCGTTATTTTTGGTAGAAGATGGCGGAAGGAGGGCACAGGAAGTTCTTCTAGATATATAAACTCACCTATCTAACCAGAGTGACTAAGATATAGTTAACTATATCGTGAACTGCAAGTAAAAACAAGAGGTGAATTCATTAGAAATTAGGTTGGTTGATTGAGGCTTAAAACCTGTAGGTTATCAATGCCGAAAATAAATAAAATTTAATAACAAATAAAAGAGATTTAGACTTTTATTAAATTTAAGCAGTAGATTTAAATTGACGAATTCCAATATCATCACGGAGACTGAAATACAGACTTATGCAAGACATTCTAAAATGAATTATATAAATATATTTAATATACCAATTGAATATATACATATATTATACTAATTTTAATTATTTATGTAATTTTTTCCGTTTCTGGTTTTTATATATTTATTATTCTAAGATCTATTGTACTTTTATGTTGTTATTGTTACACGTGGGTCGTGTATTCAGTGTATATACTAAGAAGTATGTAACCATTTTTTGAGCGAACGACTGGGTTGATTTTTAAGATTCATATCTTAAATTATCCTGAGAGATCCCGAGAGTGTATTGAAAAAATTTGAGCTGAAACAATTTTATTTTAAATATGTTTAAGCTAAGGGCTAAAAATTATGTGACGTATTTTTGAGAAGATGGCTTAAACAATTATTAACTTTGACGTCTGTAATTACTCGATGATATTCCTTATGAATGTTTTGAAATTATTTGATTTCAAAATACGGAAAACATATTATAGTTTAAGTATCTCGATTATTCATTAGTTTGAAATGAAATAATGTGATGTGTTATGAAAATAAATTATCAATATTATAAATTCTAAAAATGATAAAATTTTTAAAAAATATATGAATTAAAAACTCAACTACTGAAATTGGGAAATTCTATCCACCCTAAGGGAATGTACTTCTATATCTACTTAGACATCTTGGAAGAATTATAGGGAAAATGGCTTTTACGAATACTTAAACTTGGTATAATAGCCGGATGTCTTTCACGGTTCCTCGCAAATAGATTTCGTCCGAAAGAGTCTTGAGTTTCGGTGTCAATTTTCCTGTCAATCTACCAAGATGTTTCAATAGATATGGAAGAACATTCTCTTAGAGTGTCAGGTTCTGAACGTTGTGGGTTCGATTCCCACCAGGGTCGGTTGCTTTTCATTTCTCAGCGGCCTCGATAAATGGATCGTGACATTCTGGTAAGTCGGCAAAAAGGACCACGTTAGGCCCACCTGGCGGACTAGTTCCCCCCACCAATACCAGTACCTGTAGGGTGGATAGGATTTCTCAATTTCTGTAGTCGGTTTTTTCCGACAAAAATTCTAATATATTTTTTTTTGTTTTTAATTTTACAGAAAACAATCCGTTTAGATGAAGAGAATGCCGTCGGTTTCTGGGAAGCGATCAAGCAGCCAGTTGCTATAAAGGCCATCTGTCTCGGAATACTGGTTGTGACGATCCAGCAATCCCAAGGAGGAAATCCTCTAGGGGCCTACAACCAGATCATTTTCGAGAACGCCAAGCTCAACTTCCCGGCCAGTACAGTTCCGGTCATCAGTTTATTAGTTGGAGTGGTCTTGTCACCTCTACCAGTACTGTTGGTCAACAAGGTGATGGGAGTAAAAACTGCTGTCATCATATCTGGCATTGGGACAAGTGTTTTCTTGGTACATTCTTCTTTTTTTTTTTTTTCTAATAACCTACACTATATAAATAATACAAAAAAATACAGTACCGATCCTCTTTTTGGCACTCAGGAGGGATGGATTTCGAATGTGATTTCAAAGAAAGGGAGTTACTGACGAATCCTAATTCCAATCTTTAAATTTAGTTAGATAGATAGATAGAACATAACTTTATTCTGTGACACAGTCTCTTAAGAATAACAAAATTAAAAGATTACATCTGGCCAAAATAAAATCAATCGATAAAAAAAAATAATGTAAAGAAAATATAAGGTAAAAATTCTATATACGAAACTATATACAAAACAATTAACACTATGACAAGACACTTAAAGCTGTTTGCACTGATATACCAGTATACACTTTTAAGAAAATAATAAAGAATTAAAAAATAAAAATATATCAAATTCTTTATTGAAATCAGCTTTGTGAGAAAAGAGAAAGCTGAATCCGACAATATAACGTGTCTGATTATTATATAAATACATTATCATTTAGCATTGATATTTCACAATGAATGGCATGAAATAAATGTATGTTTAACAATTATCTGACTGTTTTTGAGATAGGAATTGGAATAGGAGTGTTTTGAATGTGGATATGGATGGAAAATGTCGAATTTTGATAGGGAGGGCATTCCAGAAATTGACAGAGCGAACATGTTGAGGTTGGAGATGGCGGAATCGATGGAATAGTTTGAGGGTGGAAATTGTCCGTCGAGAGATATGAGAGATATGGTGATTCCAAAAGAGGGTTTGATCAATAAAAATCCTAAATTTTTAACAGAGGAGTAGAAGGAGATTGGCTGGTCATTAAGGTGAAAGATGGGAAAGTCTGTATGGGTTCTAAGAAGGGGCTTGGAAGCAATGACAATGGCCTGAGTTTTGGCAGCATTTAACCTTAATCCATTTAAATTTGCCTAGGATTTATACTACATTTTTAATAAAAGTAATTTAACAAAGAAGTTTTCCGAACTCTTTTCCACTTTAAGCATACCTGTTACGCTATATTTTTTCCCATTTCGCCCCTCTTACACGGCGTCGCATTAAGATACAATTTTGAATAATAGCTCATAACAAAGATGATACAATGCTGAACATTTCCGTCGCTTACAGTATGCATGTCCGATTTCTAATTTCTGAACTATTTTAATTCATATCTTCAATAAAATTCGCTATCATTTGGTTTTCGACAACATTTTTTCCCCTTTTCACCTCTCCAATACGTCGATGTGTTAAGATCCAATTTGAATTATAGTTCTGTAAGAGGATGAAATGCTGTATATTTTCCTAGCTAACAATACGCAGGTCCAAATTTTAGTTTTTGAGATATTTTAATCTATAATTGGAGGTGAAATTCACAGGGCTGCTAGACGTTGCATGGCCGACAGAACTCATGACGATCAAGGCATACGATAAAAAAGGGGACCTTCAAAAATATTGCGCCGTTTAGCGTGACCTACATTCCCAAATTTTCAAAATAACGAGGTTATATAAGACAAATGGCTCGATATTTTTGAAGGTCACCTTTTTTCTCGATTTTGTGATCAAATTATCTTACGATCCAAGTAGAAAGCTAATGAGTATTTACGAATTTTTAATACTTACTTAAATAGACAAAGTTTGGCGCCTTTCGTAAATAAAATAATTGTAGGTTATGATGAGATGAAACAATTTACGAAATTTCAGGCGGATGTTAACCATTCGATAAAAAGGGCTCTGTACCAGTACTTGTGTAAACACCCGAAGATATTTTTTTTTTATCAAAATGAAGGTTTGGCATCTTTATAACAAAACATAAAGTTCTAGATTGAAAGAAGTCTGTTTTACGTTACTCATTTGTTATAACCGTTACCAGGTTACAACTTGTAATATAACCTATAAGTATAGAAGCTCTACGTCTTCATGTTTTGTAAATTTAATGCAAAATAAAATTCTAATACATTTTTTTTTCTGTTTTCTAGGCTCTCCTCGGTCTGTACTTCTACCTGATTAACAGCGGTGGAGTCGACTTGTACGATTACAGTTACATTTCTGTAGTCTTTCTACTTCTGTTGAATTTATTTAATGGTCTTGGTAAGAAACATAATACTTCTATCCTATTACAGTATAATAAATAGTTGATTTAGGGTTCATAATTGGGACGTATTTACAACAATTTGTTGGAAAAGGAATCGAATTTTCAAACGGAACAAAATTCAATTCGGTGCGAAACGCGCCTAAAAAATTTTTCACTTGAAAAAATATCTTGGCTTCTAGATTGGCACAAACAATATTTCCAGCAATACATTTAGAATTTTGATCTCTAAGCTTAATAGAGATCAAAATAGAGATCTACTGTTAGTATCACTTAAGGTTAAAGGGCAGTTACAAATCAGTATATATATATATATATATATATATATATATATATATATATATATATATATATATATATATATATATATATATATATATATATATCATAATAGTCTTCCTCTCGCAGTCCCCATGCTGCTGTATCCTCATGTAAACCTTCCAACCATCTCTTTTCCGATCGACCTCTCTTCCCTCTTTCCAATAGCACATGGTGAAGTATTCTTTTAGGCCATCGGTCGTCCATCATTCTCTTTATATGCCCGCACTCAGCGTTTTTGTCTCAATTTTGAGGAGTTCGTTCACTGTATTTCTAATAACATTGGTTGGAGCCAAATCTCATTCGCCAACATTTAATGAGGAATTTCCACTATTATTGAATGCCATATACTCACTTTTTTATTTTATTTTTTATTTTTTTTTATTTTTTTTTTTTTTTTTTTGGCTGATATCATCTTATTATTTCTTTATCAGACAACTTTTTCTTATTTAATATCTACTTATTATTCATTTATTTTATTATCACCATGTACCTTTTATATTTTGTATGTTTTGTAGCACTGCTGAAGACCTACAAGGTTTGTCGAAACGTCTGCATAATAAATTAAATAATACTATTTCTGCAAAATAGGATTTGCTTTTACAAGTCTTAAAGCCAAAAAAAAACAAAAAAAAATACTATTTCTATAATTTAGCATTTATTTGACCGCACCCCCCCCCCCCCCTTCTCCCCTTAAACTCCTTCTCATATTATATCACGGTCAACCATCTCGATATCATAATTCTTTTACATTTCGGATCACACACTGACTTACCCCGGTGCTTTCTAAAGCACTCCATTGTTTACTAAGAGGTTCAGTATTATATGCTTTTTGTAGATCAACAAATATTAAATTTATCTCCTTATTGCGAACTGTAATTTTTTCCATAAGTTGAGTAAGTGTAAATATTTGACCTATACAAGACTTACCACTTCTGAATCCGGCCTGTTCCTCATCGTATTGATACGATCTATAATTATACTGCAAATAGCTATTATAAGTAAATAATATTAATTATTAAATACTTTCTTCAGGAGTGGGGATATTGACGTGGCCGATCGTTGCCGAAATCCTGCCACTGTCAGTGAAGGGGATCGGGACTGGAATATGCGGGTTCATCAGCTCTCTCGTCGGCTTCCTCTTCTTGGCGGTCTATCCTATCGTCGCCGAAAATTATGGATATTCTACAAACTTCTTCGGGTAAGTAGTAACAATTTTAAGTTTATTATTTTGTTTATATTATTGTTTTATTATGGATAATGAAACTGCGTAGTCATCTTTCATCGTACGTCATGTCCAACTGACTTCATGTAGCACCATCTTCCTAGGTCTTCTACTTCTTCTCTGGATATTGTTGACATAATCGAGGGTCGTAGCGTTTCTTTCATTTCCATGACTTTACTATACATAAATTCTAAGTTATTTAATAGCATTTTTCCTTATACTATGAACCCTCCTGGCCAATTCGACATAATATAAAATAAAAATATTTTGCTTCCACAAAAAAATGTCAATCAGTGAAATATCTTTTCGTAGTCCTTGTTTAGGTTTTAAAACACTGAAATCTGGGATCATCACATTAAAATTAAAAAACTAAGGTGTGCGCTTTAGACCACACAATATAAGTGAAAACAAGGCGAGATTAATAATTTGAAATATAAATTATAAATGGGTCTTGTTTACATTCAGCCCGTCAGTGAATTTTTTAATGACATTTAGTAACAGTTGTTATGAAACTTGATACCATCGATATAGAAATAAAATCACATGTTTAAATAGTATTTAATTTAGTATTAAAATGTTTTTGGTGGGACTCATCGCTCTATATTAAGGGGGCCCTACATGGTCAATCGGAATTGCACTAATGACGTTCCGAATTGTCGTGTAAGGTAGTGAATGAAGTACTGATGGTGGTGCGCTGCGGATTTCCGAACATCCGGAAATCAAAGGTTCATTCACGAGAAGTGGAGGGGGGACAGAGGTAAAAGTAGTGGGGAGACTAACCATACTGCTGGATAGGTTAGGTTACCTAGGCCTCACAACCATTATAAATTTCTGATTTTCATTATATGTAAATAGTTAAATAATTTTTCATATCCCTTGTTTATAATTTTAAACCATCTTCAACTATTTCTTTTAAATAGTCAAGTGGGCAACAAATTAAAAAAAAAAAAAGAGGAAACTTCACAATTTACTTTAGGAAAAAAAAAAACTTTATCGTTGTGTATATTTATCAGTTCTTTTCCCATTTTCCTCAACAAATTTATTATTTTCGCAATACCTTTCCTTAATTTTTGTAAGTAGTAGACTTATATTTTACTAACTTTTGTCAAAACGATTTTCTATGAGACTAACCTTACTACTAGATAGGTTAGTTTACCTAGGTCTCGTTATTAAGTAAATAATTTCATAAAAGTAAATAGTTGTTTATATCCCTAGTCTATATTATTATTAACCATTTTCAGCTATTTTTTCTTTTAAATAGTCAAGTAGGCAATAAATTGGAGAGAAAAAAAAGTGGAAACTTCACATAAGTAATGATCAGTAATGATTGAACGTGTAAGGGTCTTCATGATCAAAGCGATAGCGGGCAATCTTGGAACTTCTTGTGATGTTCATTCATGAATTACCGTGTAGGGTCTGATTTAAGGGCATAGTAGAATTTTGGCCTCCAGAGGTACCAGGAGTAACTCATTAAAAGTATATAAATGTTTTTGGATATGTATAAAAAGTTCCTATTAAACAAATCATGTGTTTCTTTTATCCATATTTTTTAATTTATCAATAAGTAACTGTTAGTAAATAAAATAACTGGTTGGCCTTATCTAAACAAGACCTTTATGAATAATGGATCTATGCTGATCAAGCAAGATAAATAACAGGGAATAAAATGCTGATCACCTTAAGTTTCAAAGCTGAACATGTATCTCTTTTATTAGCTATAATAAACTACTATATTACAGTAAAATTAAGTGAGAAACCTGAGGCAGAACTAATTGCTATAAAAGCGATTTGTATTGTGGATGGCAGTTTACGTGCTTCTAATCAATACACTAAAAATATACATCCGTACTGTCACAGGAAATACTTTATTGTTCTATTACGTCTTTTCTCATAAAAGGCCACTTCGCATACAGGTTGTACAACAATTGGTCCTAAATATGAAAAGTAATGCTGCACAAAATCAATATCCAAATTAGATTGCGTATTTTGTCATGTGCTAAATGTTACATATAATATATTTTTAAATTTATGTATTACAATCAATTCCTTAAATTCTTTTTATTAAAGGATTAATTAATATTGGCCAATAAAATACTGTACTTTTATTTTCTCCAACAGGTTCGCAATTTTATTATTGATACTGATTGCAATATTCAAGTTCACCGTACCTGATACAACTGGAAAGACCCTGCAAGAAATTCAGGAAATGCTGGCAAAATGAAGAATCTTTATTATATCTGTAACATTATGAATTTAAGTTTTTTGTTATAATTATTTATTAAATATAATTTTTATATTTTTTATTTTTGTATGGTTTTATCCTTTTTTCTTTGTATCATAAACCAATACTATTTTCACAGAATTTTAGATTTAATTGGATACTACTGTCATTCATTTATTATTATAACTGGCCACTAAATACTATCCATAAAGTACTCTCGATTTTTACTAGAATCCGGCGAAATCACAAGGAGAGTAATGGTGAGTACGATTCGACGCCGTCTGTAGTAACAAATTAATGATTACTCCAACTAACAAGTGTTATATAAAGGTGATTGATAGTACTTATTAACAAGATGTAGATAATACTCAGTCCATTAAAAATATCTTTATTTGTGTTTTCACTTCAACTTACCTATATATGCAAAATATAGTAGAAGTAAATATTGCGATAGTGAAAAATTTCTAATTGAGTTTTCAACGGAAATACATGTTTTAAGGTCTCCTGAGTCCAAATGATCAAGTCCCGCAAAATGGTCTGTGTGTCTGTGAGTGTATGTACGTATGCATGTGACCAGTATAGTTAAAAAATTAAAAGCCCAATGAAAGTGAAATTGCATATTTACGGTTTATATAATTCTTTGATGTTACAGCAACATTTTCGTCAAAATATTCAAACCGGAAATGGTACTTTATATAATCACTTTTAACATATTTTTACAATTTTCTCAAAAACTCAATATATCATTGTTTTATTAAGCAATTTTAATATAATGTAGATTTTATTTTCATTGATGTTCTCTAATAGGGCTTAAATGGTTAATTTTCAATATTAGATTCCTCTAAAGTACCTTTAATTATTTTTACTTGAAACAATTAACCATTCCACTTAATCTTAGATATAAATAATATTTAAATATTAAAATATGAAAGAATTTAATAATTAACTAAAGGAGAAATAAGAGATCGTAATGGAAATAGTAATAGAGGAATTAAAAGGAATACGAGCGCGCCCGAAGGATTACTGTAGGATTCAATACATGAGCTTAATATAATACGAACTCCAACAATATTATGTACATATAACACATACATGCGGTTTTCATAAATGGTATCGTTGTCATTATTTAATATTTAGTTGTATAGAATACAGTGTTATAAAAATTAAAATTTGTATTAAACAAATAAAAAAATACTCACAATGAAATGTAAACAAATATAGCGTCTATAACTTTTACTTTCACTGCCCCTTTGTCTGAAAATACTTATTTCTGCTAAGAAGGTGGTAAGTGAAAGGCGTGTAATGCGCACACCAGATGTTTCGTTATTTGATTCTTGTAATATTAAAAAAAAGTTTTTTATTATGTAAATATTACATCTTTTTTTAAAAAATAATTTCTGTCTATTTCAAGTGAAACTCAGGATGAGTAAGATTTGTATGAACTATTATTTACTACTACCAGATATTGTAAGGTCGAGGGCGAATATGTTTGCTCTTGGAAATCACAAAAAAAATAAATATCCAGTTATCAATATATAAGTGGTCTGATAGTAAAACAATCAACAGGTGTTGCAACCATTCGCTTATCGAATGGCAATTAAAAAATGAATGATTAAAAAATGACAATTCATGACATTAAAAAATGAAGTCGGATGCTATTCCAAGTTTTTTAGGATATTATATCAAACTTTGTTTTATGATTGTTACACACTATCCTCATGTATAAAAGCTGAAATACAGCACAAAATAACATATTTTTGTATTATTAGACTATCGCTAATCTGAACGACACCTTTTATTATTATTATTAAAACACCTTATTCAGAAATATTACAATTTGTCACAGTTAAGGACACTTATAATAGAGTTCAGAGATTGCATTCATACCGTATATACAAAAATATAAATAAATAAAGTAATAACAAAAGAATAAGAAGAAAGAACAAAAGAGTAAAGAAAAAAAAATATATATATATACACATAAGTAAATAAAAATAGAGAAATAAAAGTAAAACAAACACCTTATATAAAACATACATTATTTACAATTTGCCAGGTGATCTCCGAACCAATCCTGTCCCCTCCACATGTGGAGGGAAAAGGGAGGCTTAGGAGATCCCTACGCCTCTCCCTCAGCCACTTCACTGGTATTTTAAACCAGCGGAGGATAAGTAAGAGCGCTACAGCCACAGACACTCATGACTTGAGTGGAGAATCTGGCCATTGCTAGAACTCCAAAATATCCATATTTACAAAAGGTCTCGTGGCCACTGCCGCTTTAACCTACGAAGGGGATTGTAGGGATGGGTGGTGCTTGATAGGGATTGTACAACGGGATTTGGGTGATGAGAAAGGTTCTGGTGAAATTTGGAAAATTTGGCTGGGATAAGATCAAGAATAAATGGGATATTAAGGTCATGGTGTAGGGTTTTATTGGTTACATAGAAGGGAACATTGACTATTGTACGGAGGACTTTAGACTGAAAGGATTGAATGCGTTTGATGTTAGAAAATTTGGCTGTTCCCCATAGTTCTAGTCCGTAAGTCCAGATGGGTTTCAGTATTGTCTTGTAGATCAGTAATTTGTTTTCACCAGAAAGTTTAGATTTTCTATTCAGTAGTCTATATAGCTGGCCATATCGTCTGTTAAGTTCCTGTCTTTTAAGTCGAGTATGTGGATTCCATGTTAGTCGTCTGTCTAAGAGAAAGCCAAGATACCGGACTGTATCTGAGAAAGGAAGCTGGATGGAGTTAAAATAAACTGGTGGGCAGGTATTACGCCGAAGGGTGAAGGTAATGTGTTTACATTTAGATTCATTTACCTTAATGCGCCATTTCTTACACCAGTGTTCAATCAGGAAGAGGTGCCTTTGTAAGTTTGCGGACGCTGTTTCAGGATCTGAGTTGGAAGAAAGGATAGCAGAGTCATCAGCGAAAGTTGCCAGGAGGGTATCGGGATGGACAGGAATATCAGCGGTAAAGAGAATGTAAAGGATGGGGCCCAAGACGCTGCCTTGAGGAACGCCAGCCTCAATTGAGTAACAGTCGGAGAATTCGGTGCCACAGCGAACTCGGAAGGAGCGGTCGGAAAGATAGGATCGGAGTACTAGGTATAAGGACTGTGGTAGATGGATTTTAAGCTTGAAGAGTAATCCGGCGTGCCATACCCGGTCAAAAGCTTGCGCTATGTCCAGAAATGCACCCGAGCAATACTGCTTGCTTTCTAGGGTTGAGGATATATGGTCAACAACTCGGAGTCCTTGCTGGACAGTGGAATGTTGGGAACGAAATCCGAATTGATGAGTAGGAAGGTTATAGGATTCAATTATAGGTAGGATTCGTTTCAGTAGGATCTTTTCAAAAATTTTTGAGAGGATTGGGAGTAGGCTAATTGGTCTATAGGATACTGTATTGTTGGAAGGTTTGCCTGGTTTCAAGAAGAGGACGATGGTGGAATGTTTCCATAAAAGAGGGAAGTGGGTAGTTCGTAGGATGCAATTGTATATATATGTAAGAAATATGATGGCTTTAGATGGAAGTTGTCGAAGGATCTGTGGGGTTAGAAGGTCATATCCAGGAGATTTGCGAGGTGTGATTTTCCGTAAAAGGTATTTGACCTCAGAGGGATTAACAGCTTTAGGTGGTAAGGAGAGTGGGATAGGTATTGAGAGGGATTCTTCTACTTTTACTGTGTGGCTGGGATGGGATTCTGGATGAGGAGCGAAAGTATAGGAAAGGTGTTTGGCAAATTCCTCGGCTTTATCTTCATCAGATGCTGCCCAGGAGCCATCATCTCGTCGAAGAGGGTGGGAAATATGATGGGATTTGAGGATTTTTCTGGTGATATTCCAAAGGGAATTATCATGAGCAGAGAGTGTGGTGAGGTAGGAATTGAATGATTGGGATCTGAAGGTGGCTAATTCTTTTTTTAATTTTTTACAGTGATAATTGTAGGAGTGGCGGTCGGCTGGATGTCTGGTACGTTGCCATAATAATCTGGCACGGCGTTTTATGTGGATTAGGTCAAGGAGGTGTTGAGGTAAATTATGTTTCTTAAGGATTTTTGAGGAGTGATCAGGGGAGGAAGCAGTCCAGACTGCTTCTTGAATTTTGGTAGTGAAGGAATGTACTGCATTGTCCAGGTCTTCAGAGGTTTTCAGGGTTACTCTGAGGTCAATTTTATCGGAGAGGATTTGATGAAAGAGTTTCCAGTTAACTGGGCCTCTGATGAAGGACGGAGGAGAGGGTTTAGGAATAGGAGCTAGTGATACTTGGAGTATTAATGGGCTGTGGTCTGAGGAAAGCTCGTCAAGACGGGCAACGGAATGGGTGAGAGCACCTAAACCATTATGGATAAAGAAATCGAGGATATCGGGATTACGGTTAGGATCAGTGGGCCAGTAGGTAGGTGAGTTGGGTGGAAGAAGGGTAAAATTTTAGGAATTGAGTACAGACAGCAATGTTCGACCACGAGAATTCGTGGTTCTTGAACCCCATTGTTGATGCTTGGCGTTTAAGTCTGCACCCAAGATGAAATGATGTCCTAAGGAAATGAGGAAGGAACTAAATTGGATATTGGAGATGGGTTGGTTTGGAGGGCAATACGCTGATGCAACGGTAATAGGAAAGGAGAAGGTTTTGATTACGACTGCGGTGGATTGTAGGAAATCGTGCGTAGGCAGTGGGAGTAGGTGATGGGAGAGGGATTGGTGCACAATGACTGCAGTACCGGCATGTGCTCTACCGTCAGGATGGTCGGTACGGTAAGTTATGTATTGTGGTATTTTTAGGAGCTGTTTTTTAGTCAGCCGAGTTTCCGTTATTAGGGCTACGTCTACGTTCTTGTCTTGTAGTAAGGCTGTTAGTTCGTGTATGTGATTTCTAACACCATTCGCATTCCAAAGGAGAATGGATATGGGTTTGATGGAAGTCATTTAAGGATTTTTTAAAGGAGGGATAAGGTGAGATACTAGGTTAGTGAGAAGTGATATCAGTGGGGT